AATTAAAGATTTTGTTTTAATTTTTTGCAATAGTGCATCTATTGTCCTAGGATTATTTTTTGAATACCTTATTTTTCTCCACTGAATCGTGTGTTCTAACATATAAATATTAATTATATAAGGAAAATATATTTATTATAAGATAGAAAATTTTTATTATTAATAACAAATTTTGGCCATAATTATTAGCATTGTTATTACTTAGCTTTCTTATATGTAAATTTAGAAACCCTTTCTTCAGTTCCTAAATACAGAGTATATAATACATAATACATATTTTAGTAAGGAACATGATTTGTTTTTTATTTAGTGCATAATGAATTTGTTTTAATTTTAATATAAATTTACATAATATTTCATTGTAGGAATATGCCATTATTTTTTAACTGATACATTTGATATTTAGGGTTTTTTTTAAATTGGCTTTGTTGGGCCGAGCCCGTGGCGCACTCAGGAGAGTGCGGCGCTGGGAGCGCAGTAGCGCTCCCGCCACAGGTTCGGATCCTATATAGGGATGACCGGTGCGCTCACAGCGCTCACTGGCTGAGCATGGTGCGGCCGGTCTCAAAAAGGACAAAAAACAAATAAATAAATAAACAAAATTGGCTTTGTTTTTCTAGCTATTAAAAACATTGCAGTAAATGTTATTTTATTATTTTTTATTTGTATATAATAATTGTATATATTTATGGGGAATATATGTATTGTACAATGTATAATGATCACATCAGGGTAATAGGGATATCTATCACTTGTACACTTATAGTTTCTTTGGGGACGATTTCAAACTTTCTCTTCCAGTTATTTTGAAGTATACAATAAATATTTGTTAACTGTATAGTTATGTGTAGTCACCCTACTGTGCTCTTGAGCACTAGAACTTATTCCTTCTATTTAATTGTATTTTTTTTACTAGTTAACCAATCTTCTTTATTCCCCTGTTCCTCCACCCATTCCCAGCCTCTGGTAACCACTATTCTACCCTCAACCTCTGTAAGATCAACTTTTTTTTAGTTCCCGTAAATGAGTGAGAATGTGGAACATTTATTTTTTTTCTGTGCCTGGCTTACTCCATTTAACATAATGTTCTCCAGTCTCATCCATGTTGCTGTTAATGACAGGATTTTATTCATCTTTATGGCTGGGTAATATTCCATTGTGCATATGTACCACATTCTTTATCCATTTATCCATTGATGGACACTTGGGTTGATTCCACATCTTGGCTATTGTGAATTTGTGCTGCAATCAACATGGGAGTGCAAATATCTCTTCTGTTTTCTGATTTCCTTTCTTTTGGATATATGCCCAGACATGAGAGTGCTGGATCATATGGTATTTCTATTTTTAGTTTTTTGAGGAATCTCCAAACTGTTTTCCATAATGGCTATACTAGTTTATATTCCCACCAGCAGTATACAGTTGTTCCTTTCTCCACATCCTCCCCAGCATTTGTTATTTTTTTGTCTTTTTGATACTAGCCAGTCTAACTGGGGTAAGATGATATCTCATTGTGATTTTGATTTGCATTTCCCTGATAATTAGTGATGTTGAGCATTTTTTCTTATACCTGTTGGTCATTTTTATGTCTTCTTTTGAGAAATGTCTGTTCAGATGATTTGCCCATTTTTTCATTGAATTGTTTGTTTTTTTGCTGTTGAGTTGTTTGAGTTCTTTGTATATTCTGGTTATTTTCATCTCTTGTCAGATGGTATATTCTTCCATTCTGTAGGTTGCCTCTTCAGTCTGTTGATTGTTTTCTTTGCTGTTCCGTTCTATAGATTGTCCCTTCACTGTGTTATGGATTGTTTTCTTTGCTGTGCAGATACTTTTTTTTTTATGTACTCCCATTTGGCTAATTTTGCTTTTGTTGCTGGTGCTTTTGAGATCTTAATGCAAAAAATCTTTGCCCAGACCAATGTCCTGTAGTGTTTCCCCAATGTTTTCTTGTAGTAGTTTCATAGTTTCAGATCTTACATTTACATCTCTAATCCATTTTGAGTTGATTTTGGTATATGGTGAGAAATAGGGATCTAGTTTCATTCTTCTGCATATGGATATTCAGTTATCCCACACCATTTATTGAAGAGAAACTTCTTTCCCAAATGTATGAGGGTACTTCAGAAAGTTTATGGAAGAATAGAAATGAAAGAGAATATGAGTCTTTTTGTGAACTTTTTAAAGTACACTTTTTAAGGCAGGTTCTTGGCGTCTCTGTTGAAAATGAGTTGATTGTAAATGTATGGATTTATATCTAGTTTCTCTATTCTGTTCCGTTAGCTCATGTGTCTGTTTATATGCTGTTACCATGTGTTTTAGTTATTATATCATGGTGTTTGGGTTACATGTTGTTTTACTATACCATGCTGTTTTGGTTACATGTTTTGGTTACTATGGCTTTGTAGTATATTCTGAAGTCAGGCAGTGTGACACCTGTTGCTTTGTTCTTTTTGCTCAGGATTGCTTTGGCTATTTGGGGTTTTTCTAGGTATTAAAAATACTGTAGTGAATATTTTTATAAATATATATTTGCATAACTGATTATACTTAGGACAAATTCTTAGAAGTTAAATTAGTGAGTTAATAGATCTGTACATTTCTTAGGCTCCAGATGTTGCTAATTAGCTCTACAAAAATATTGAATCATTTCACATTCTGAGGAACTTCTATTAGAATGCCTATTTCCGTATTCCTTGTACTGAACAGGTTATGTTTAAGAACAAAATATCATACCCAATCTGTCAGGAATTTATCTTATTTGTATGTACTTTTACTTGGTTTATACTGATATTGAAAATCTCTTCACATTTTTTTGGTTATTTGTGTATCTTAGAATTTACTGTTTATACACAATTGCTTTTATTTTATATTTTAATAGGTTTTTATATTTTACTACCTATTAATAAAACATGAATGTTAGCTTTTAGTCTAAAGTTAGCCTCTAGTCTGATATATATATATTTTTTCTTAGTTTTCTGTGTCACTTTCCTTTGTTGTTCTTTTCTGCAGCTTTATTGAAGTTTTAAAAATTTTGTGTAGTTAAATTTATTGATCTTTTGCTTTACAATATGTCTTCTATTCCAAAGAATATGTAATTATTTGTCTATGTTTCATTTTAGTATTTCTATACTTTTTTTTTTACATATAAATCACAAACATAAAAATTGTATTTTAGCATAAGGTGTGAGTTTAGACCCTATCTTTAATTATTTTGAAAATGACTCATCACTTCCCGTAGCATTATTGTGATAATCTGTTGTCTTAGTCACTGGGACTGCCATAATAAAGTACCATAGACTGGCTGGCTTAAGCAACAGAAATTTATTTTCTTACAGTTCTAGAGACTAGAAGTCAGAAATTAGAGTGCTAAGATGATGTTTCTGGTGAGATTCCTCTTCCTAAGATAGCTAGCTGCCTTTTCTCTATGTCCTTTTTTGGCCTTTTCTCAGTGTGTGCCTGTGGAGAGAAATACTGCTTTCTTGTATCTCCTTCTCCTTTTATAAGGACACAATCCCACTGAGTTAGGGATATCACCCATATCACTTTATTTGACGTTAATTACTTCCCAAAGATCCCATCTCCAAATACAGCCACACTGGGGGTAAGGGCTTCAACATATGAATTTTGTGGAAACACAACATTCGGTTCATAATATCTGTTCTTTCCCTACATATTTTGAAGGCTACCTTTATTATATAATAAAATATTATGCATACACTAAGATCTGCTTCTAGTCTATATGATTTGCTCTTCTCTTTCTCTCTGTCTCTTTCTCTCTCTCTCTCTAAAATAAATTGAGAAAGAAAGAACAGTGACAAAGGAGGGGTCGACATAATAAAAGAAGGGAATTTCCCTGCAGCAAAAAAGATCAGATTCTTAAACTTGAAAGGAGACATTGAGTGTCAAGTGGGGTAACTGTCAGGAGACAGTTTTTTCATATCTGAAATTTTATATTTTAATTTGAGAGCAAAAGAAAAGCATTTTTAAACATGTGAGGATTCAAAGTTTACTCTTTGTCCTTCCTATCTTTGAAAGACTCTTATTGGTTTTCTCCAAAATATGAAAAAGAAATCTAAAATATTAAATGGGATAGGATTAAATAAAATTTGTGCAAGCAATGAGTAAAACTTATAGATAATTCTCAATAACTGATTATTTGATTATTTGTAATGATTAATGCTATTAGTAATTCCTACGGAAGGAGAGACATCATATTCAAAAAGTTTTTAAAATGAAGATTCGGGATTATTTCAAATAAACAGTGGACAGGAAGGATATAACTTATTAACCACTATAACATAATTAAAAAGAACTGATACATTAAAAGAAACGGAAGGAAATTTTAAAAAAAGAAATTCTAAATCGAAATTGAAAACTTAAAATAAGATGGCTTGAAGGCTGGCTAGTTACCTCAGCTGACAGAGCAAGGTGCTGATAACACCAAGGTCAAGGGTTTGGATCCCCATACAGGCCAGCTGTCTAAAAAAAAAAAAAAAAAGTGTCTCTAATAGATCCAAATATGTCACTAATCCCAGGAAATATCAAAGAATGATAAAGTTTTACAATATTGTTACTAAGAGATAGTCACAAATTAAGATTACCTAAATAGATAAAATATAGGAGAAGCAGAAATGTCAGTATTCTGTGAGGCAAACAGAATTGAAGTTGAAGAACTTCAAATGGAAGAAGAGGGATATTTTGTATTGATATTAGTTTTAACCCACTGAAAAGATAATAGTCCTTTTAGAAGGGACAAGGAAGCATCAATAGTCATATATATGAAATAAAAATTGTTAGTAATAAAAGAGAAACTGACAAATCAAATTATTGTGAGTGAATTCAACACATCTCTTTCAGGAATTGAGAGATTCAGTAGAAAGCAAGTAACAAAATTGTAATTGAGCTGTCCAAAGAACAAAATGTCTTCTAATGCCTAATCCCTTTCATGTTGCTAAAAAAATCACCTTAGAAAATGAAGCTATTTTCTTATCTTGTTTCAGGTGTATGGTTTTCCTGTAAACCAGCTTTTTGACATGCTGTTAGAAATCAGAGACCAGTATAGCGAAACTCTGCTAAAGAAGTGGGCAGGTATTTTCAGGTGAGAAATGATCTGTCGTATGTGTATTTATGTGTAAGGTTTTTCAGATGTAATAAGCAACAAGTATATGTGGCTTATATTTTCTAGTTACTCCAGGTTATGATCCAGAATTTAAGTGAATTATAATCATGTCTAAAATGATGTTCCCAAGATATCCAATCTCATAGCTATGGTGCTGGGAAGTCCCCCTGCTGTATTTTGGTATTTTTGTTTCCTTGGATAAATGTCAGGTTCCTTGGTTCAAACCATCCAGATCATCTTATGTCTTCTCATTCTTTTTTCTGTTTTCTTTTTGGGGATCATGTATAGTCTGGCTCCAAAAGGTAGTGGCATTTGAGCCCTTCCGAACCCTCAGCGGGAGCGCCGCCGCGCTTCCCAAGCGGCGCACTACAGCAGTGCGCCACCGGGCTGGCCCAAAATCAGTGAAGTTTTAAAAAAGTGGTATATACTTCAAAACTAATGAACTTTTAAAATTGTGATATATACATGTTTGTATCCTGCTCATAGAAACTATCTTCTGTGTCAGTTAAGTTTTCAGATTTGTTGATATGAAGTTATACATGGACTTTATTTGTAATTTTAATTTTTCTCTGTATTTATATTTTTCCCTTTTGTAGTCTTTGTATTGTTTAGTGTTTTTTCTTTGTTTAATCAGACTTGCTTAGATTTGTCTATTTTACTGGTTTTATTTTTAATGTGGGTTTTTGGTTTAATTGATAAAATCTTTCATATCTTTTCTATGCCATTAATTTCTGCTGTTAATTTGATCAATTTTATTCTCTCACTTACAAATTCTTGTAGCTATAAGATCTTATATTGTTCTTTTACTCTTACTCTTCACAGTTTATGAACATATCCTTGATCATCACTTAGTCTAACTCATCTGTATGTTAATATACATATTTATATTTCTAAAACCTAGATTTATGTAATGGTATAATTGTATTTAGGGGAGAGTTATATCTGCAAGAAGTTTGAAAATTAATAACATGGTATATCCATAGTGTAAGGTTCTTTGGATGTGATGCCTTTAGTGAGTTTCTGTTTTGATTTTGGTAGTACGGTCTCTGCTTTTAGAGAACCCTCAGTCTAGTTAAGGAGGGACAATCTATAGATGAAAAAAATTTATGATTAATACAGAGCATTAGATGAACTTAATGAACATAATTTGGATTTATAGAAATTACTTTTCCTACCTGCCAATTTTGAAAATTAAAAGTTCTAGTTCCAGGGCCGGCCCGGTGGCGCACTGGATACTGTGCCACTTGGGAAGTGTGGCGGCGCTCCCTCCCGAGGGTTCAGATCCCACATACAGACCGGTTCCCTCTCACTGGCTGAGCGAGGCGCGGGAGCAACACCGAGGGTTGCAATCCCGTTGCCGGTCCCCAGTCCGGTATGGGGGCAACATTGAGGGTTGCGATCCATTGCCGGACATGGAAAAAGACAAAAAAGACAAAAAAAAAAAAAAAAGTTCTAGTTCCAAATTAAAAAACATAATCAAATGTATCTTATTAAAACAAACAAAATCAACCACTGTCTTCTCTAAAGCACACATTCTTTTGTTGTTTACTTCTCACTTGCCTTAAAATTTTTTGTCCCATTTGTAAATCTCAGAAACTTAGTAGATCATGTTTATATTGTATTCTATTTGTTTCAGAGTGTAGTTTTCTTTCTGACTTCTTTGAAAGATGGTTTTAACCCAAAACAAATAGCTTTATTACGGAAGGAATATTATAGGGTATAAGAGGGACTAGAAACATTCATTTTGAGTTGTGGTATATATACTCATACAACCATTGGAGTTCATCAGAAAATTATTTTTCATTAACCCACTATTTCTCCCTCCCTTCCTTCCATCCTTCCTTATTTTATTTATAGAAACATACTTGATTTGGACAACTACAGTCCCATACCAGTAACAAGTGAAGAGATGTATAAAAAGGTAGTAGGACAATTCCCATTCCAAGATATAGAGCTGGAAAAGGTAAGGAATACTTTAAAATAAACTTCTTAGGTTCTTTTGGCATTCTGTAAAAACTTTCATTGTATCAGTTTCATTGAAAGCATTACCTTCAACAGAATGGGTTAGAATTCTAAAATACCTTCAAAGGACTCTTTCTGGAGCTTAGAAGAATACAGTTTCCTAATTTATGAATCAGTAGTTGGCTCTGGAGTCCTATCACATGTGAAGTGTTTGGAGGATTGTTGGGGGTGTTCTAATTATATTTATACTTTGAAATACTTGCCTTTATTGTACTCTTAATACGTTTTCTCCCAAAAACATACAGTGAAATTTACCCTTCGTTGTATATAATTCTGTTGGTTTTGACAGTGCATTGATTTGTGTGTTCACTACCAGAATAACTATACAGAACAGTTCCATTGCCCCCCCCAGATCCCTCATGCTGCCCTTTTGTAATCAACCCCTACCCTAATTCCCAGCCCCTGGAAACCACCAATCTGTTCTCTATCCGTCTACTTTTGCCTTTTCCAGAATGCCATAGAAATTCATACAATATGTAACCTTGTGAGATTGACTTCTTTGACCCAGCACAATGCTTTTGAAATTCAATCCAAGTTGTTGAATGTATCAGTAGTTTATTCCTTTTTATTCCAGACTACATACCACAATGTTTATTCCTTTACTTGTTGAAGGACATTTGAATTATTGTTTTATTTAAATTTATGTCTTATTCTTTTTAGTACCAGAAAACTTTTCGAGACCTTTTTTTTAAATTTGAAGTTGTTGAACAGATAGTTCAAAATGTGGAAGAAAATTCCTTTTGTATTTTAAATAATTTTTAAGTATCTTCAATGTTCATTAGTTTGTGACTTGCTTTTATTAATTCTTGCATTTGCAGCAACCATTTCCAAAAAAGTTTCCTTTCTCTGAATTTGTGCCAAAAGTATATAACCAAATTAAGGAATTTATCTACGCCTGTCTGAAGTTTTCAGAAGATCTTCATCTAAGGTATAATATGAAACAGTGGAAATGCAACCAATGCTAAAAATGTGATTCTATATACGCAAATATTCTAAAAAACTTTCGATATTCCCTTAATGAGAATTCACTAGAAAATTGTAGTATAACATACTAATTTTAACATTCTACTTTAACATTCTTCTTTAAGGTCAGAAGGGGAGTAGCAGGTAAAATCCTTTGGAAATATTGTTATTGCTCTACTTGTGTGTATATGTTTCTGTATGTGCTAGACTTTAGGCTCCTTTGTTTCTTTATTCAATTATTGGTTTATTCATCATACATTATGACTAATCTATTGTTTGTCAGATGCTGTTTAGTTGTGAAGACATTAAGATGCTGGAAATACATTCCCTGTCTTCAAGTCTAATTGAGACACTGAACAATTAATGATAAGTGCTGGAGATATATGGGAGCAGCACACGTGCCAACGTTAACACAAATTGAGGATGTTAGAAAAGGCCTGTAATGGCACTGGGGAAATGGCAGGAAACCCTTTTTTTCTGTATGGCACAGGAAAAGACCTATTGCTATTTCAGGAAGGATTGAAGGAAAAAAAATGTTCTACCCCTGGGAGAAGAAGTGAAAGAAGCAGTCCTGTGCCAAGGATCTTATACCAATGCCAAAAGAGGTCTTCTACTTTGGGCAGAAGGGCAGAAAACTCCTGTACTAGATTCACTACAAATACAAAGCAGAGTTTGGCCTCCAGTGGAAGGAGGGGCAGGGATATTGTGCAAGCTCCACTCCTGTGTACCAAGCACACAGGGCATACCTAAGACTAGTCTGGCCAGGGCAAAAGAGTATGTCCTTTGATTCTCACTAACAGCTTAGCAAGAACTGTGTAAGAAGTGGCAGAAATCTACCACTGGTTGATGGCCAAGAATGTAGACAGAGAGATTCCCTTCTGTGTTGGAGACATACAGGTATAGCTGAAAGCTGTGTATGGTGGAGAAACATCATGAAAAATCCTCTGGCCCATTCTATCATTAGAGGAATTTGAACTCAGTAAGGCATTGAATCATGGCATCAACAAAACTCAAACCCAGCTTAACTCCTGCCTCAATTGATTCAACCCCCACACTAATGACCCAAAAGGAGAAGAGATATGGTCATTTCCAAGCAAAAATACTGTTTTCCTCAGCCTCTATTGTTTTACATATGATGTCCAACCTTCATTCAAAAATAGTGATATACAAACAAAACAAAACAATTAAAACAACTCATTGTAAAGGGACAATGAAATGAACAGAACCAGACTCAGAGATGACCATATGATTAGAACTACTAGTTAGGGACTTTAAAATGCCACATGTATGTACATGTAGGGACTTTTAACAGACAGATGGAAATTGTAGGAAAGAGTCCAGTAGAAATTCTTGAGTTAAACAGTTTTTGAGATGAAGGATTCCTTTGAGGGGTTCATCAGTAGACTTGATCTAGCTTAGGAAAGAATCAGTGAGTAAAAGTTACCCAAACTGATACACAAAGAGAAAAAAAAGGGGAAAGAAATACAACAAAGTTCCCAAGATCTGTGGGGCAATTTCAAAGAGTAGATCTAAGAAGAAGACTGAGAGAACAGGGAAGAAGAAATTTTTGAGAGATAATCGCTGAGAGTATTCCAAAAATAATGAAAGACATCAAACCAGAGATTCAAGATTTTGAGAAGCCTAATCCAGATGAAAAATAGCAACAACCAACAAACAAAAAATACTTAAAGACACCATATTCAAACTGATAAAAATGAAAGGAAAAGATAACATTAAAAAAGCCATTCAGAAAACCAAACATCACATACAGCCATAATGATAACAATTACAGCAGACTTCTTGTCTGAATCTCTGTAATCCAGAGATAATGGAGTGACATCCTCAAAGTACTCAGAGAAAAATCAAGCAGAATTCTATATTCAGCAAAATAACTTT